ACCCTAAACCCTAAACCCGTCTCAACCCCAATTCGCCGAGATTCAAGGCCGCCAGGTTCGACTCCAAGGTGCGCACGAGCTCTTTCACCTAGTAGAGGGGACCCTAGGTTTAGGGTTTAGGGTTTAGGGTTTAGGGTTTAGGGTTTAGGGTTTAGAGTTTAGGGTTTAGGGGTTTAGGGTTTAGGGTTTAACCCCTAAACCCCTAAACCGCAACCTCTAAACCCCAAACCCCTAAACCCCTAAACCCCTATACCCTAAACCCTAATCAGTGAAATAGGGGCCTCCGTTAAAGGAGCCCCCAAAAGGATTCTCTCTAATACTAACCCTTATAGGACTCCATGTTAGAGAGGCGTTATATTCAGCTTCTCTAAAGGGTTGTACAAGGGGTGCTACAAGGGTCTAGGGTATAGGTTTTAGGGTTTAGGGTAGAGGGTTCTATAAGGGTTCTATGCTTTATGAAGAGGCCTCGTTCAATAGAATCGGGGCCACTCCACAATGAACAGATTCACGGGCTCACCGTTTTGGACGGTATAGACACGACCTACTGCAAGCCACATGAACCAAACCGTTTCTGTGGCTGTTTGTGTATCAGCAAACCCTACAATGGCTTTTAAGACCCAAATGTGAAACCCAAAGCCACAAACTGAGAACCCCAAACCCTAAACATCCATGTTGTACCAGGCTTTTAGGTCAACAAGAAGGAAATAAGCAAGCCATAATGCAAACCTTGAAGTCCCTAGTATAAGGACTGAATAGGCTCCCTGTTTTTAAACCCCTTGTATAGCGTATAGTACCGAACCCTTACTATGTCCAGAAATCCAGGCTAGTCACAAAGGCCTTTTCAGCCTGTGTGGATGCCTTGGCTCCCTAAACACGAAACCCCAAACTCCTAAACCCCAAACCCAAAGCTCCTAAACCCTAAACCCTCAAACCCCTAAACCCCCAAGCCCCTAAACGCCTAAACCCAAAGCCCCTGAACCCTAAAAACCCCTGGACACCTCAGCCCAGCCCCAAATCTTGATCTCAGCAAGACCTCAGCCAGCTTGGTGTTGGCGTTGTTCAGCGTCTCGGTGGCCTCGCCTCGAAATGTTACGAACGGTAGGGTTTAAGGGTTTAGGGATTACGATGATGATTATCATTATTGCTGGTATCCTTGTTGCTACAAGTCGTCTTGTTATTGTCACTGAAAGTACACACATTGTTGGTAGCTTTGCTGATTACTGGTATTGCTAACGCTACTCTCATCATGATTATCCTGAAATTTTGCCGGGAGCTGTAAGTTTCACAAGGCGTCGACAAAGGATCGATGAGGATCTGGTGAGGATATACTAAGAGGCTTGCCCCAAACCCTAAACCCTAAACCCTAAACCCTAAACCTTGGTCCTCTGAACGCCAAGCTCTAAGCCCTAAAACTTTCATTCTGGTTACAGCTGGGGAGTGAAAAAGGCTCCAGGGTAGTGTTAGGGGGACCCCCCGGAAGGAGGACCCTGCCTAGCCCTACTGATGGCTCTCTTGAAGGGAACTTGTTGAGAGGGTCTATATTCCCAAGAGTGTTTCCCCTAATACTCATATCGGGGCCTTAATAAGTAGAATAGGATCTTGGGGCCCATTATACTGTAATTATAATAAGGACCCCCCCTCCCAAAAATATATAAATAAATATATATATATATATATATAATTATTTATATATATATATATAGTTTTTTTCTTCGGCCCCTATATTAACTCCTAGAGGTGCTCATGCTTTAGGCTTCAGGTTCAGGGCTTCTTGGGCTCTACTGTAGGCTCCCAGGGCCGAAGTGTGATCCTGCTTGGGGTTTAGGGTTTAGGGTTTAGGGTTTAGGGTTTAGGGTTTAGGGTTTAGGGTTTAGGGTTTAGGGTCCTGCTTGGTTGGTGTGGATAATGTAAGGGGCCTTAAGAATTAAAATAGGGTTCCTCTAAGGGTTCCTTTAAGAAGGGATACTATAAAGAGTACTATCAGGGTTTAGGGTGTAAGGGCCTTAAGAATTAGAATGGGGTTTTGTGGCTCATTATACTATAATTATAATCAGGAACCCCAAAACATGTATAGGTAATTAGTGAGGCCCCTATACTATATGTATAAATAAATGATGAAACATGAATATATGTGCACACACACAGAGAGAGTTATCTGTATGTTTGGTCCATATATGATTACACATATACGTCCGTGCACACACATTCGGTATGTATGTACATATTGTATTATGTCATTGATTTGAATATATACACAAAAGCTTTAACACATATATGGACCTTGAAACTGTGAGGCTTGGCACTCTAAACAGCCTGACAACAGCGTTCAGACGCTGCTCCTTGTGGGCAGTTTGCATCCGTAACCATGGAAGCCTCCACAACCCACAGCCCCAATACCCTAAACCCACGAAGGGCGCAAGTGCTGGCGGTTTGAGACATCTGTCTTCTTGAGCACAGCTGCCTAGCATCTACACCGCCAAGCGACGCAATGCATTGCGCTTTGGCTCGACCTGCACCACCACGTCAAAGTACATGATGATGTTGATGATCCAGACCTCGAAATTTGGAGGGCGCTAGGGTTTTAGGGTGTGAAGAATCCGGATCCTGTTTTGGATGATCACGAACAGACCACGCCACACTTGTAGTTTCGACCAACACGGGGTGCCAACTTGCATTATTTCGGGCGCTTGTAACCCGAAAGCCCAAACCTCACACCCCAAAGCCTAAACCAAGCCCTAAATGGAAACCTGAAGCCCATGAGGTCTACTACAGGGCCATAAGACATAGAGCAGGGTTATCGTCTGCTGGGTTGTGGTTTTGTCCTTCTTAAAGATTATTTGTGAGTGGGTATCTCTGTAGGAACCATAGAAACTTTACGGTCTCCCAAAGTGCCACCTAGT